CTTGGGAACATGGAGGCATTTCCTAGAAGGTGCACGACACCAAGTGGAAGTGCACACCAATCACAAGAACTTGGAATATTGGCAGACCGTGAGACAACTGAACCAGAGACAGATCAGGTGGGCGCAGTTCTCTGCCCACTTCAACTTCCGCATACAATATGTACCGAGGCGCCTGAACCAGAGGGTGGACGCCTTGTCCCGGAAACCGGAATACATGAGGGGAGAACAGAAGCGAGAATTGAAACACATTCTGAAGCTAGAACAGTTGCAATTAGCGGCGACGTCTATTGTCGGAGTAGAAGAATTCAAGCGCCAAACACAAGGAGATGAATTTGCACAGCAGAAACTGGCAGCGATACGTAGCAGGGAGAACAGCGCTGAAGGATTCACTGAAAGGGAAGGCCTCTTGTTTAAGGGTGAGGTGCTCTACGTACCAAAAGGGGATTTGCAAGCACGAGTCATGCGGCAGTGCCACGACAACCCGACAGCGGGTCACTTTGGGCAGTACAAGACCGTAGATCAACTAAGGAGACGGTTTTGGTGGCCCAGGATGAGAGAAGAGGCCCAGGAGTATGTCAGGGCATGTGACACTTGCCAACGAGCAAAAACGCCTAGAGCAGCACCAGCGAGACTTCTGCAACCGCTTCCGACCCTGCAAGGACCTTGGGAGGCGATTGCGATGGATTTTATCACAGACTTGTCATCTTCTCGAAAGCAGACAGTGATCTGGGTCGTGGTGGACTTGTTCACGAAAATGGCGCACTTTGTGCCATGCCCGAAGCTCCCGTCGGCACAGGAAACTGCCCAGATGTTGCAGATATAGTCCCTCCCCCAGAACTGAAAGAATCAAGTTCATCTGAGGCCCTTCTTTGTGTGCCCCCTCCATGAGAGGTCCAGAGGGAGGGGGCACACAAAGAAGGGCCTCAGATGAGTTCAAAACGAAGCAGGGTAAAGGCTAATAGAGTTCTGCCAAGAGAACAAGCTGGTCATCACAAACACTCTTTTCCAACAACACAAGAGACGACTCTACACATGGACATCACCAGATGGGCAGCATCGAAATCAGATTGATTATATTCTCTGCAGCCAAAGATGGAGAAGCTCTATACAGTCAGCAAAAACAAGACCTGGAGCTGACTGTGGCTCAGATCATCAGCTTCTTATAGCAAAATTCAAGCTTAAACTGAAGAAAGTAGGAAAAACCACTGGGCCGGAAAGATACAATCTAAGTCAAGTCCCTTATGAATACACAGTGGCATCCATGATGGACTGCGCCGCTGGCCAGAGGAGCAGGGGCCATGAGGAAGCTGCCTCCCAGGAAGAACTGCAAAGCAAAGTGAAGGTCACCTTGGCCCCATCAGTCAGCCAAAGAAGTAGCAGCTGCAAGGAGGTCACTTCACTGCTCCCTGATGGAAAGAACACTCTGCTCCAAGTGCCAGTCATCCCGGGGATGCAGAGGAAAGTAAAGGGGGAAAGGACAGTGGTGTAGCATGGGTTGCCAGAGCCCGGGGCAAGGCAAGTATCCTTGGCACCGCCCACCAATGGGCTGGAATGAAGGGGCAGCAGTTTGGTGACCTACCTGAGTGGCAGCCACAGCACCCTGTGAACATCAGGCACAGCAGAGAGCAGGATGGAGGATTGCTCAGGAGCAGGTATCTTTGAAAGCCTATGCTCCTCAGTCTGCCCACGCAAACATTAGGAGATTTTCTGTGTGAGGGGGAAGACACACTGTTTTTTTATTTATTATTTGCTTTGTTTTTCTTTTGACATTTCGTGCCCCTAAGAATTTTGCACCCAGGACAACTGCCCCTGTGGCTCCACCTGTACTGTGTCACAGGGAAAGAACTGCCATTCAGGTAAGGGACAATCAGCCAACCTGTGCTGGTTAAAAATGCCGACTTCTATATCTCTCCTCCTTTAGCTTCTCTTCTTTCTTCTGGTGGCAGGGACTCTCTTCATTGATATGAGCTGCTTGAAGAGACAATAATTATCAGAAAATAGATTAAAACTACTGTCAATAAATCATAGCTAAATAAGGCACCATTAACCCACCAAGCCCCTCCATGGATCGCTGCCTTGCGGTGGCAAAGGGGCTTGAATAACTCAGAGAAGCTATGAGCTATGCCGTGCAGGGCCACCCAAGACGGACAGGTCATAGTGGAGAGTTTTGACCAAACGTGATCCACCTGGAGCAGGAACCGGCAAGCCACTCCAGTATCCCTGCCAAGAAAACTCCATGGACAAAGACAACAGGCATATAAAAGTTATGATGCTGGAAGATGAGCCCCTCAGGTCGGAAGGCGTCCAACATGCTACTGAGGAAGAGCGGAGGACAAGTACAAGTAGATTCAGAGCTGATGAAGTGGCTGGGCCAAAGCCGAAAGGTCGCTCAATTGCAGATATGCCTGGAAGCGAAAGGAAAGTCCAATGTTGTAAAGAAAAATATTGCATAGGAACCTGGAATGTAAGAACCATGAACCTTGATAAGTTGGATGTGGTCAAAAATGAGATGGCAAGAAGAAATATTGACATCCTGGGCATCAGTGAACTAAAATGGATGGGAATGGGCGAATTCAGTTTAGATGACCATCATATCTACTACTGTGGGCAAGAATCCCGTAAAAGAAATGGAGTGGACCTCATAGTCAATAAAAGAGTGCAAAAGCTGTACTGGGATGCAATCTCAAAAATGATAGAATTATCTTGATACGAATCCAAGGCAGACCTTTTTACCTCTTTGTAATCAAATTATATGCACCAACTACTGGTGCTGAAGAAACTTACATGGACCATTTCTATGAAGACTTACAACACCTTCTAGAAATGACACCAAAGAAGGATGTTCTTCTCATTATAGGGATTGGAATGCTAAAGTAGGGAATCAAGAGATAAAAGGAACAACTGGCAAGTTTGGCCTTGGAGTTCAAAACAAAGCAGGGCAAAGGCTATTAGAGTTCTGCCAAGAGAACAAGCTGGTCATCACAAACACTCTTTTCCAACAACACAAGAGACGACTCTACACATGGACATCACCAGATGGGCAGCATCAAAATCAGATTGATTATATTCTCTGCAGCCAAAGATGGAGAAGCTCTATACAGTCAGCAAAAACAAGACCTGGAGCTGACTGTGGCTCAGCTTCTTATAGCAAAATTCAAGCTTAAACTGAAGAAAGTAGGGAAAACCACTGGGCCGGTAAGATACAATCTAAGTCAAATCCCTTATGAATACACAGTGGAACAGGTTTAAGGATTTAGATTTGGTGGACAGAGTGCCTGAAGAACTATGGATGGAGGCTCGTAACATTATACAGGAGGCAGCAACGAAAACCATCCCAATGAAAAGGAAATGCAAGAAAGCAAAGTGGCTGTCCAACGAGGCCTTACAAATAGCGGGGAGAGAAGGCAAGCAAAATGCGAGGGAGATAGTGAAAGATACAGGAAATTGAATGCAGATTTCAAAAATAGCAAGCAGAGACAAGAAGGCCTTCTTAAATGAGCAATGCAAAGAAATAGAGGAAAACAATAGAATGGGAAAAACCAGAGTTCTGTTCAAGAAAATTGGAGATATGAAAGGAACATTTCGTACAAAGATTACCATGATAAAAGACAAAAGTGGAAAGGACCTAACAGAAGCAGAAGACATCAAGAAGAGGTGGCAGCCAGACTCACCTGCACATCTGCAAGAGAGGCAGACACATGTACCTGGGAGGATAGTGAAGAGAGGCATAGCCATTACTAGAGGTAAAATAATAATTGTAGGACATCTGCTTCGTTGTCAAGGACCAAGAGGGAAATAAAGCCGTTGTCCCTTAGCGAAAACCTGCTGTTTCTTTTCCCCCAGACTGCGCCCCCTCCCCACCAACTGCTCTATTTGTTTGGATGCCAATCCAGTTCTGAAGCCTGTAATTGACCCCAGAGATTGAAGTTTAACTTCATCAAGTGAGGAGGCGGAGCGTAGGGAATGTTGGGATACTGCCAGGGAGACAGAGGCATCAGGCAGGCCCACAGTCGTCTCCGGACAATCACCGGTCTCCCGTGGAACAGCATCAATTAGCGACACGAGCCTCAGAGACGTTCCAAGGCCCGTGCACACCCTTTCAGCAGAGTCTCCACGACGAAAGGATGCAGACAGAAGAGCATATTTACAGCTTTATTCAACGTAGTTCAGAACAAAGGAAAAACATGGCTGCTTGCCTCCGTGTCCAGGAAAACAGCTGGAATAAAAGCTATATACAAAACGGAAGTTCCCAGCGAGAACTGGAAGTAAACAGGAATGTGATACACAACAATCATGCCTGACCCTTTAAGGTGGAATGGAACTATCCTAACAGGGAAGGGGTGGGGGGAGATAAGTAACCAAATGAAAATAATATTAATAAAGGAAACCGTGTTGGAAGGAGAGAGCATCTGGCTGCTCATCACAGCCTTTTTGCTTTTCCTATTCCAGCGAGGGGGCCAGAGGAAAGGGGGGGGCGGTTCTCTTTTTTCCTAGTGAAGTTACTCATGTTCTGGGTGCCAAGGTGAGCAAAGGGAGAGGAAGGGCAACTGGAGACAGAAAAATAGTTTATTAAAATAAAAAAAAAGTTGGGTAGGGGGTATGCAGACCCTGCAAGAATAGGACCAACCCAAAAGTTCTTGCTGCCGGAGGCGGATCAAATGGTACCCACCCATCCCACAAAGCTGGAACATGTGTGGAGGAGGGGGACCAAGATGATCAAAGGTCTGGAACATGGGTGTAGCCAGGATTTATGTTACGGAAGCAAGCTTTATGTTGGAGTGGGGGCAAAACCTCAGCTAAGTATTTTTTTATTGATTTACTTAATATAGGGGGGAGCTGCCCCTTGCCCCCACCAACTATGCCCATGGTCTGGGAACCAGACCTCATGAGGGACTTTGGTATGTTTTAAAACAGAGGTTGCATAGCCACCTGTAGAATCATAGAGCTGGAAGGGACCCCAAGGGCCATCTAGTCCAACCCCCTGCAATGCAGGAATCTTTTGTCCATCGTGGGCCTCAAACCCACGACCCTGAGATGAAGAGTCTCATGCTCTGCTGGCTAAGCTATAGTTGAATTTCCCACACTAGTGATGGGCAGCAACTGAAAAGCAGCAGGCTGGCTTAAGAGGTGCAGAGCAGACAGCTTAGCATACACAGTGAAGCTATTCTCCAACCGCCTGAGAAAGAGGGGCCTGCCTGTTGCCACTTCATATATTTGGTCTGTAACCTGACCTATGTGGTCCTAGGGCAGGAGCTCCCAAAACGCAGGCAGTGGACTTCTGCTTCATTCAAGTGGTCCATGGTGTGCCCATGGATTTGTGGCTGCAGATGGGAGGTGGCACGGCCATTGCTCTAAGCATTCATATGGATTTCTAGTTGTATTTTTATTCCTCCCTTTCTTTATTTTTTACGCTGTATTTTATGCATTACCATTTAAATTAAGAACATAGGAACATAAAGAAGAGCCTGTTGGATCAGGTCAATGGCCCATCTAGTTCAGGATCCTGTTCTCATGGGGGCCAGCCAGATGCAGGGGGTTGGACTAGATGCTCCTCAGGGTCCCTTCCAACTTAAAAAAAATTATGAGTCTATGATTCTGTGCCTGAGGGAAACCCAGAAGCAGCATTTTAACACAAGAGCACCTTCCCCTCGTGTAGTTTCCAGGAACTGATGTTCAGAGGCATAAAGCTTCTGGTGCTGGAAACAGAGCTGAGCCATTCTGGCCAGTAGCCACCGATAGTCCTCTCCTCCTCTGTGAATTTGTCTACTCCTTTTTTAAAGCCATGCAGATTGGTGGCCATCACAGCCTCTTGTGGGAGGGAGTCCCATAGTTTAACTCTGCGCTGCAGGAAGGACATCATTTTGCCTGTCCTGAATCTTCCAACATTGAGGCCTCATCCACACTTCCATTTGCCCCATAATTCCTAGCCATAGGTCTGAGTGGTTTTAGGGCTGTTGTTTTTTGCTGCTTTCCTCTGGAAAACCAGCTGTTTGCTGCTTGAAGTGGACCAAATGTCAATCTTCAGAAAACCCAATGGATGCTTGTTTTGATTCCGTAGTAAACAGCAGGTTGTTCCAGGGAAAGCAGAGGAACAAAATAAAAACCTCTTGGATCCATGACTCAAAATCCTGGGACAAAAGGGAGTGTGGTGAAAGCCCCTAGTGCTGGGCTGAAGGAGCTGCTGCAACGGGGTCTCGAGACCCTAACACTGTGCTTTGCCTGCCAGCTGATTTCCTGTCTCTTGCCTTTGCCCATGAACTGATTGAACCCTGAACTTGGACTTTTCTGACTTCACCTCCTGCCTGCCTGGCCCCTTTGCTGTGGACTCTTCTTGCTTGGACCCTGACCTTGGACTGGTCCTGAGTACTGCTGTGATGGCAAGCTCCCTGCTTATTTGGAGCCCTGGGAGAACAGGATGCTGCCTCAGGCTTGAAGATGCTCCACACCAGCTATCAGGGTCCCATCCCCTGCCTCACAAACCTCCTCCCACCCTTGTAGGGCTACAGAAACAGAGGAGATGGAGGACCAAGCAGGAACTTCAGGGCTGACACCAAAGGGGCTGGGTTAGCTGTATGCAAGTGTACTCCGGGAGGGAGATGTACATGAAAGCACCTGCCTGGATCAGGGCCTGGCAGGGAGAAGGAAGAAGAGGAAGAAGAAAGGTGGACCCACACCTGCTAACACTTTGAAAAATGGGAGATGAGCAAAAAAGGAAACCTTACAGCTCATCCCCCCCAGATCCCACTGAAGAAGAGCTTCTCCCTAGAAGCGAATCCTGGCCCACCTGTTCTGTAGCTGGAACTGTCATCGTGCACTGAAGGGGGAGAGAGTAGTCAGCTTGCCAGGCTCTGCACAGGACTGCTGCACCTTGCTAAGGGTCAGTGCCTATGGGCACCGGGGAGTACCAAGGCGATCTTCATCTGAGGCACAGGCACTTTGCTGGAGCCTCTGTAATTAGGTGCAGACATCGGAAGCTCTAAGCCTTTGGGCAAAGCAACTAATTTAGTGGGCAGCCTGCTGTTACTGCCAAAATGCCAGCTTCCCAGCACTGAATAGCTGAAAGGCACTTGTTAAGCCCATTACGCTCCAGCTGTACTTTTCCACCTGTTCAAAAGACCTAGTTCAGAGGCTACCCCCGTCCACTGCGTGAGTCACCCCAGCCAACCCCAAGTGCACACTTCTTAGGAGCACGTGCTGTGTGTGTGTGTGTGTATGTGTGTGTGTGCTGGGGGGAATTGCGGGTCTTAGTTCCCACAACCTATGGCGATGTGCATATTAAAAACGCAGCAAGTTTGTTTCTCCCCCCACCCCCCATTTCAAGTTTTTTTTTTACTTTTCACACACTAGACAAGGGGCAGGTGATGTGGGGGTTTGTTTGTTTGTTTTGAATATTTTTTATTAGGAATTTCAACATAACAATTTATCAAAAACACATCATCCTCATTCCCCCCCCCATTTTTCCCTTCCTCCTCCTCTAAAAACACCTATGACCTATATCTTGTGCCCATTTAATCATAACTGATTTCACCTCTTCATCTTTTGTTTCCCATTCTAGCAGAATACTATATGCACCTTTCAGCAGCTTCACTTTCCCTTCTACAACTTCCTTTTGGAATCTGGATGTCATATAGCTAAATCCTTTCTTATTGTCTTCTTTGTATATTTCATGTAGTTGCCGATAGTGTAACCAACTCTGAAAGTGGTCTTTTATTTCGTTGTAATCTCTTAGTTTCCATTTTCCTTCTTGGTCCTTTAACAAGTCAGCATACGTAAGCCACTTTCCTTTCTCTCCAAGTGGTTTGAGCAGTAAAGCTTCATGTGGTGAAAGCCACCAAGGGGGTCTTCTGTTCTAACAAATCTTTATCTCTCTCCCATACACTCATTAGTGATTTACTAATTATATGGTTATAAAAACTTCTGTGTACCTTCCCTTTCCCATACCATAAATATGCATGCCAACCAAATCTATTGTCATGTCCTTCCATTTCTAATGCTTCTTGCTTTTCCAACTTCATCCAGTCCCTAATCCATACCAGGCAGGCAGCTTCATAATATAATTTAAGGTCTGGGAGGGCAAAACTGCCTCTATCTTTTATGTCTGTAAGTATTTTGTATTTATCCTTGGCCTTTTGCCCCCCCCCCCCCGATAAACTTAGAAATTTCTTTCTGCCATTTTTTGAAGCATTCGTCTTTCACAATTACTGGGACTGATTGAAAGAGGAATAGCATTTTTGGCAGCACATTCATTTTAACCGCTGCTATTTTTCCTAACAATGAGAGATTCATTCTGCTCCATATTTCTAAATTTCTTTTTGCCTCAAGCCAAATTTTTTCATAATTATCTTTGTATAAGTTTATATTTCTTGATGTTACCCATATCCCCAAATACTTAACTTTTTTATGGACTTCTATCTGAATATTTTGCTCTAATTCCTTTTTTCTTCTTCCTTCAAAATTTTAACTAATAGTTTGGTTTTGTTCCTATTTAATTTAAATCCTGCCACTTCCCCAAATTTGTGAATCTTTTCTATTACTTTGGGGAGTGAGGTTTTTGGGTCTTCCACTGTTAACACTAAGTCATCTGCATATGCTTTTTATTTGAACTCGCGTTTCCCAGTTTTTACACCTATGATCTCTTTATCTGCTCTTATATTTTTGGCAAGTACTGCCAGTACCAGGATGAACAACAATGGTGATAATAGACATACTTGTCTAGTTCCTTTTTGAATCTTACAGTCATCCGTTATCACCTGGTTAATAATTAATTTTGCTTTTTGCTCTGAATAAATTGCTGCTATTCCTTTTAGAAATTTAAAGGTAAAGATACCCCTGCCCGTACGGGCCAGTCGTGTCCGACTCTGAGGTTGTGCGCCCATCTCACTTAAGAGGCCGGGGGCCAGCGCTGTCCGGAGACACTTCCGGCTCACGTTGCCAGCGTGACGAAGCTGCTCTGGCGAGCCAGCACCAGCGCAGCACACGGAAACGCCGTTTACCTTCCCGCTATAAGGCGGTACCTATTTCTCTACTTGCACTTTGATGTGCTTTCGAACTGCTAGGTGGGCAGGAGCTGGGACCGAAAGACGGGAGCTCACCCCACCACGGGGATTCGAACCGCCGACCATGCGATCGGCAAGCCCTAGGCACTGAGGTTTTACCCACAGCGCCACCCGCGTCCCTCTAAGAAATTTAGAACCACATTAAATTTGTTATGAATTTCCAAGAAACATTGTCAAAGGCTTTTTCAGCATCTATGAACATCATTGCTGCTTTCTTTTCATTTTTGACCTCCAAAGGATTCTATTGTATTCAAAATATTCCTTATATTCTCCTTCATTTGTCTACCTGGAAGAAACCTTGCCTGGTCTTGATGTATATACTCATTTAGTATATTTTTCAGTCTGTTAGCTAATATGTTTGCAAACAATTTGTAAATATTGTTTAACAGAGAAATAGGCCTATAGTTTTTAATTTGCAGCAAATCTGCCTCTTGTTTCAGAATTACTGTAATATAAGCCTCTTTCCATGTTTCTGGAATTTCACCTGTATTCAGTATTTCATTCATGACATCTTTCAATGGGTTCACTAACTGTTCACTTAGTTTTTTATAATATTTTGCTGTAAGACCATCCGGGTCTGGTGACTTGCCATTTTTGGAGCCTTTTATTACCTCTAACAATTCTTGCGCTGTTATCTGGGAGTTTAAAATCTTCCTTTGTTCTTCTTTTATATGTGGTATATTACTACTTCTGGTGTACTCTTCTATCTTGAAATTTTTTTCTTTCCCTTGCCTGTACAAATCTGCAAAATATTTTACAAATCCTACTCTTATATCTTTCAGCTTATCTGTGATCTTTCCATTTAGATTAATTTTATTTATGGAGTTCCTCTGTTCACTTTTTTTTAACTGCCAAGCTAGCGGTTTTCCTGGTTTGTTTGCATGCTCAAAATATTTTTGTTTCACTCTTTTTATTTTCCAGCTAATTTCCTCATTGACTATCACTGAATATTTAGTTTGTAAAGTTTTTATTGCCTGTTTCACTGCCTCTTTATTTGCTTTGTTTGACAGTTGTTTCTCCTTTTCTATAATTTCATCTAGGATCTCTTTTTTCTTTTTCTTTTTCAATTTCCTTTTGTATGAATTTTGTTGTATAAAGAATCCTCTCATTACCACCTTACTTGTGTCCCAGACCGTCTGTGATTTTATCTATCCTTGAGTGTTTATTTCAAAGTAATCAGTCACAGCCTTTTTTATTTTTTCCATAAATTTTTGATCATCTAGTAAATCATCATTTACTCTCTATCTAAACGAAATTTGGTTTTCTTTTTGTAATTCCATTATCAAAGAGTTATGATCTGAGAAGGTTCTGGGGTTAATTTCAATTTTTTTGACTCTTGTTTCCAATTCTTTAGAGATCCACAAAGAATCTATTCTCAAGCTACTGTCATGTACATGGCTATAATAGGTGAACCCTTTATCAAACATATGTCTTATTCTCCATATATCTATCAAATTTAAATTTTGAACCATATCAAAGAAGGTCATTTTGGTAGTTTACCTTCTTTTGTCTCTTTTTTCCTGGCAGATCTGTCTTTATCTAAAGATGGAACTCCATTTAAGTCTCCCATTAAGGTCATCTTTTGATCTGCAAATTCAAGTAGTTCTGTTTCTAGTTTTTTGAAGAAGATTGCTTTTTTATCATTGGGTGCATAGATACCAACCAATATCACTTTCTCTCCCTGAATTGTAACTTGTATTATTAAGATTCTACCTTTCTCATACTTCTGAATCAGTTTGGGTTCAAGTGCAGGATTAATATAGAAAACTACTCCTCTCTTTTTTGTTTTATCTGATGAGATGAAGTCCATACCTAATTTTTTGTTAATTAGGACCCTTTTGTGGTTTTTTTGCAATATGTGTCTCTTGGAGTCAAATTATATCTAGCTTCAGTTTTGCTATTACATGCTCAATCTGTTGGCGTTTGGCTTTACAGTTTAGTCCATTAACATTCCAGCTCAGTATTTTAAGGTTGACCATTGTCAGAGTCAGTTACAATATCTGGGTTTGTTTTGTTTTTTGGGTTTTGTTTTGTTTTGTTTTGTTTTGTTTTTTTGGTGTTGCACCTTCCAGTGATAGCCGCTCCAAGGCAGCTCTTTGTTCTGCTACTGGTTCCCCCCTATCTTGTTTTGGGTCTAAGTCTCTCCTGTGTTTTTCAAAGAACTTTATCGCCTGAAATTCTGATGTTAGCCTGTATCTCTTTCTCATGAATGTGAAGGATATACCTTCTGGGAATTCCCATTTGTATCTGATGTCTGCTCTCCTGAGTGCTGTTGTTAAAAAGCTATATTTAGTCCTTCTAAGTCTCAATTTCAGTGGAATTTCCTGAAAAATGTCCACTTTCTGTCCAGCAACCACGAGATTGCCTCCAAAACCCTTTTGAAGGATTGCATCCTTCATTTTTTTTTAATTTTTTTTGGGGGGGTACTAATGTTAGTAGGACATCTTCCAGTTGGTCGCCCAGTAATGGCAGACGGGAGCTCTTTCAGCTGAAAGAGCCCCAGCGCAGTGAAGCTGAGGGGTGACCTCAAGAGCAATGTGGTGCCCCGAGAAACCTCAGATCAAGCCTTCTGAGGACCTGGTGTTCGGTGGGTACCCTTGGCGACTGCCCCATTCCCCGGTAAGCTATGGAAAAGAGCCATGAGAGTGAGTGGGGTTGGCAACGCGGCACAGCGGAAACGACTCGCTTCCTTCACAGCACGAAGCTCCGAGTCTGGCAATCGTGAGCGGCCAATTTCTCCCAAAAATGGTTTAAAATTGGAACTGTGAGTAAAAGGAAAAAAAAGTCTAAATTTGGCTGTTATTTGGACAGAAAGGGATTTAAAAACGGAGATCGATCCCTTTTTGCTGACTTAAAGGAGAAGCGGTTATCGCTGACAGAAGCCCTAAGCTGGAAAGGACTGTCAGGAAACCCGCAAGTAAACCCTAAAATCCCCTCTTCTTGCAGGGGGAAGGGGGGGAAGAGCTTTTGATTTAAAAGAACCCTGTGAGACTGAGCTTTAAGCTAAAGAGACTCCTTCTTTCTGAAGCGGACCTCCCGGTAGGGAAAAGCTAGACTCCATTGTGACATCACAAAGGGAGAGGAAACTTTCAACTTTTGCTTCCTCTTTGTTGGATATAAAGTATCCTGTTGTTGTCTGGACTTTTTTTGTTGTTGCAAAAAGTATCTGTCACCTCCAGGACTCTTCTAAATAATTTAAAGGGACTGAGAAGAGTGCTAAGTAGCCTATTTTCACAATAAAAAGGAATTGGGAAGCTACTGTCTGTCTGCAACTGACTGTTGTGGGAACTTTTTTTTTCCTTTCACCCTCTGACTGTGGGACTGACCTTGAAATTCCTGAGTAACTATGAGCTGGGAGAAAGGAGACAAGAGCTTCCGGTTGGCTCGCCCGATTATGGCGGACAGGAGCTCTTTTGTGGAAAGGGCAGTGGTGCTTTGAAGGCAGGGGAGAACCGCTGGAGCGCTGTGGTACCCCAAAAAACCCTCAGATAGAGCATTCTGAGGACCTGGAGTTCCTGTGGGTGCCGGGAACAACTCCCCCGCTCCCCGGTAAGCTCTAAAAAGAGCGCCGAGTGCGAGCGGCGTTGGAGACGGTGGCACTTGGGAATCAACTCACATCCTTCAATGCATGAAGCTCTGAGTCCGGTGATCGTGAGCGGCCAATTCCTCCAAGGAAAATTGGATTCGAATCTTGTGAGTAAAAGAATATAATTTTGGCTACAAATTTGGAAGGAAGGGGATTAAAAAACGGAGGTTGATCCCTTCCACTGAAGGAAAAGTGAAGGCAGATAACGTAACCAAAACCCGCAATTTTAAACTCTTTGCTTTTAGAAAACTTTAAAGCTAATTTAAATCTCCCCTTCTAGCAGGGGGAAGGGGGTAAAAAGACTAAAAATTAATTTCCCTGCAGAAGAATTTCTGAACTGTTTGAACTGTTGTATCTTCTTTGTGGAAGCGGACCTCCTGGGGAGTGAATGCTAGACTGCATTGTGATGTCATAAAGGAATCGGATACTTTCAACTTTTGTTTTCCCCTTTGGGAAATACAAAGTAACTCCAGCTGCCAGAACTCTAAAAACTTTATTAACTGTATCTCTACCCCTGGACACAAAGTTTAACTTTGAAACTAAACTCCTGGGAACTCAGTTAGAGGAGTAAAAAGAAAGGACTTTAAGATCAAAAGACTGTGGAAAGGAAAGACTGTTATTTTGTTGTGGGGACTTTCGGAGGCTGGGAATAGAAATTGTTTGCTGCACTATCTCCCCCTTGTGACTGAGGCTGACCTTGGAAAAAAATAAAAATAAAGTATGGATGGGGGAGACAAAGGAGACAAGACAGAGAGACCAGAGAAAGCAAAAATTAAAGCAAGGAGGGACTCTAGGTCACCAACATTTGAGGAGTCTGTGATGCAACTTCTTCAAGACATTAAAGCAGAAGTAAGAGGCAATCAAAAATCTATTCAAGATTTGAAAAATGACTTTGCTGAATTGAAGCAAGATTTGAAAGTGGTTAAATCAGATGTAACTGCACACAAAGCAAGACTGTCACAATTGGAAACTGTAAGAGTTCCGGATTTGGAGACAATTCAGCAGGAAACTCAGAACTCGATTGCGTTTCTCCAAAT